TAAAAACGATGGAGTGATTTTAAGAACAGACACTTGAACCTAACGATGAGACCTGATTTTGTGTTGTTTAGAAGGGAGTTCCAAGAAAGGATACACTGGTATGTAATGGAATTAATTCCATGTTTACTTTTCTGTTTTAGTGGGAGAGTTAAATTGTTATAAGTGACTGATCTTAGGTTATGCCCACATGTTGTTCTATTATCAAAGTAGTTGTGAAATATAGAAAGGACACCATTTTGTTGATCGCAGACAAATGAACAATTTAAAAACTGAATTAAGTCATAGAAACGAAGAATTTTGGATGTAAGATCCAAATTATACTTTCTGTAATTTCAATAAGAGCGTGAGCTGTTAAATACTTTTTACGAAAACCAAACTGGTGTTTATATAAGCATTGATTTTGGTTTATAAAGTTGTATAGTTTATTATGAATAACTTTCAAATACTTTGCTTACATTAGAAAGAAGAGATATTGGGCAATAGTTAGTGCAGTCATTAGACATTAAAAGCAATTTTATAAAAAGCAATTTTATATTTTTTAGCTAGCGTTTTTTTTACAAATTAGCAATATCTAGTATATTTGTTATTTTTTTAGCTGAAAAAAGCTTAAGAAATTAAGAGTTTTAAATTGTATAGTTCTCCTTTATTTTATCCTATAAAATGAATACCATAAATAGTAGTTTCTTTACGGTATTAAGTACCAATTTTTAATGGAGCATGTTTAATATATATCTTATATATCTTGTCGACTATATGTATATTTTTTAAAGTTATTTTCTCATTTTGTTTTATATGAAAACAAAAAATAAGTACTGTTAACATAGCTTAACAATTAACATTACTGATTAACTGTTTAGCCATGTTAACAGATTAACTAACATTATTAATATATCTACTTTGTTTTGTCATGTGCATATAACGCTCATCCAGAGAGAGGAGCCAGTCAATGTAGATCTCAAAAAAAAAAAAAAAAAATTTTTTTTTTATGTATTGTTAATATTAAGCTGTTCAACTGTAATGAATTTTAAATTAAAACAAATAAATAAAACGCATTCTGGTTATATAATGCATATGTCATTATATAAACATTATGAAAGTAACAAAGAGTGTAAATTATGACTTTTTAAATTAACTTTTATTACTATGCCATCATACATAATTGTCTTGGATATGTCAATGTTGTACCATTCATGACAACTTTCTGCTAATAGTTTTTTTTACACATAATATAATTTAAATCATCAAGTTGCATAGATGACAAATGGTTAAATACATTTTTTGTTTCTTCTTATTATTATTTTATTTATTATTATTAATATTATAATTACTTATTTATTATAATTAATTAGTATTGATTATTTTCTTATTTATAGTATTTATAAAAAAGTTAGCATTTATAAAAAAATAAAAAGTTATTAAAAGTTGCTAACAGCATGCTCAAATTAGAGCTTAGATTTCTTATAAACAGACTTTAAAACAGCAAAAAATTTATAAAAAAAAAGAAAAAGCTGTTTAAAAAAAGCTATTTCCCTAACTTTCTTTCTTCTTTTTTTTAATATTTCAATATACCCGTTGAGTATCATATCATATCATTTATATTGACTAGTCTATATTGGTTTGTCTACAAACTCTAACCTCTCAGTTGTATTCATGTCTGGTTTTTCAGATTTTAATTAAGATTTTGTTTATCACATTTTTTTGCCATGATTTCGTCATTTTTTGTTAATTTGTGATTTAAGTATTTCATTAATTTAATTGATTTTTGATTTGATTGTATTTTTACTGTGCTTTTTTTAATTAAATTTATTTTTTTGCAGGTTAATGGTTAAAAATTGGTAAAGAATGGTAAATAGATTAAAAACAAATTTAACTTGATCTAAAATCTACCAGAACAAACAAAAGAGTAATGAAGTAAATTAGGCACGGATCAGTAATGGGCTGTTTTTTTTCCTCACTATTGATCACTTAATACTCGTGAACAATGTGAAGTATAATAATACTTGTAAAATGTATAAACGTACCTTACTTTAAAGATATTTTTATTTAGATGCAGTTACCTGATGTCCTTAAATTAAAAGACACAATGCACAAAGATAGAATTTAGATTGTTTGAAGTTTGCATCATATTGATTGGATCGTGGAAAATATGCATCAAATCAAAATGAGTCTGATGACAGAAGGCGATAAAAATACATATGAATTTGATTTTGGTGATGAAAATAACAATATCACGATTTTAACAAGATCGTTCTAAAAATAATTTTAATTTTGTATAAGTTTTTGTTCTAAAAATGTATAAATTATTATTTTGGTTTTTATTTGCTTTCAATAATTGCTTTTCAATTTCTATAATTTAGTTACCTGCATTAAAAAAATGGTACATGGCAGATTATTTGTAATACAATAACAACAGTTAGTATTATATAAATTAACTAACAATACTACTAATAATAATAAGTGAAAGCTATAACAATTAAGAACAAGATGTGCAATACAATAGCATAAGATATTGTACTATGACAGCTATTAAAAGTTTATGAAGAATAATTGTTTCTTTTCTTACTCATAACAACACGATTTTGAACAAGAAATAAATGTTTTTTCGGATTAAAAGAGTCACGGCGCAAAAAGCTGGATTTTTTACGTTTATAAATTCGTATATAAGTTGGTTGAATCAACGTTAAATCAACGTTAAACTAAGGTTGATTTTTGGTTTGTTTTCAACGTCGATCTAACGTTTTTTTTTCAACGTTGATTTGTGCTTCCATTTTAAACAAAAATCAACCAATTTTCAATCATAAATTTTAACGGTTTTTTAACGTTGGTTGTGCTTGCTGGGATTGTTGTTGTTGTTATTATTATTATTACTATTGTTATTATTGTTATTATTATTATATATACTTCAAATGTTAAATGTTAAATGGTGTTTATTTAAATTAGTATTTTACTACTATTTGTAAATATCAAAGAAAGTTTTCTGAATATATACGATTGAATGAATCTGCACTTTTCACTTGAATGAATTGAATGATTGGATGATTATCTGCACATTTCACTTAAATAAGTACAACATCATCACATTATGATGTTGTACTTATTTAAGCGAAATATGAATATACTTTTGTGAAAATTATATTTAGATAAAATTAGATACTCGCTTTGGTTAGCTTTTATGGTATTTTTTACTTCTAATTTTATATTTTACTTGTCAATATATCATCTTTACATAAGCTGATTTAATGATACTTTAGTTTAAATAGACTTGCTTTCTATTCGAGATCTCAATGACAATGATCAGGATTCTCTGAAAGATGAACTAATTTTTTTAAATTTAAATATGTTTTAATGATGTTTCTTGTCTTTATCCATGTATATGTCTATATTCATATGTATGTCTATATTAAAATGTAATCCGTATATATATATATATATATATATATATATATATATATATATATATATATATATATATATATATATATATATATATATATATATATATACACACACAAACATATATGGGCAATTCCAAGAGGGCGATCTGATTGCTGAAAATCCCACTTAACTTACATTATACGGAAAACAAGGTAAAAAAAAAATGCTTCAACTTTTAGGTCAGATTTCTGCGAATCAATAAAGCGGTTTGTATTAGAAACTTTCACAAAATGTTAAGAATTCTATACCAGTTTAAAAAACATATAAAAGTTTATCAGAGGTGACCGGCTAAGAAAAATAAACTTGTTTTTTTGATACTATGTATTTAGCTTACATTATATAACTTACATTACCAAACGTGGATCTTAATATTTATATTTAAAGGAGCGGTTAAATCCTGATATGCGGATGACAAAAGTAATACTTAAAAACAATGTTTTGAAAACACACCGTGTATATCTTTTGAAATGGATAGTTTACGGATATTTACACAAATAGACAAAAAATGAAGATTTCTCTGTTTTCTTGTAGATATAACAATTGTAAAACTTCTTTTAAATTCAAGTTTCTTTTTTTTATAAAAGAAGCTAAAACGAAAAAAATTATTAAATTGAGTATCATTTATAAAATGAATTAACAGTGAAAAATAATAATTTAAAGAACTTTAAAAATTTGAAAATTTTTAATGAGGAGCGTTTTAACACGATTTGAGTCAACAACCGTAAATTATCAATTCAAAAAGATATACGCGGTGTTTATTTAAAACATTGCTTTGAAGTATTACTTTTGTCATCCGGATATCGCTCCTTATAATTAAGAGTTAGAGTTACGTAATAAAGAGTATTTAAATCATTTATTAAAAGTAGTTAACAAAGGAAATTTTAAAAAACTGGTGGAACTAATCACATGGTGATTTTTAATAACATTTATGATAGTTATAAAATCGAAAATAATTTTTCCGCAAGACCAAGAGCAACTTTAAAAAATTATTTTATTATTACAACTTAATTAATACTTATTTGAGTCATTTAAATAAGAAAATCCTTGGTTTGTCGAAGTTATTACTTACACTTCTTACGTTTATGCGTATTGCCTTATTTTCATTAGATTGAATTTTTAAAATGCATTAACATTAACATTTAAATCTTTTAAAATGTTTTTGACGTAAAGACTTCTATCACTCTTATTTTTATTTATTTATTTATGTTTATTTATATGCCAAACAAAATAAGAATACATGAACAAAATAAAAGAGACAAAAATACAAATAATTTTAATTAACATTTAAAAAAAATTAAAGAGTTTTTTCTAAATTCTCCTAATATAAAAAGTTAAAACCTTGTCAATCCAACGCAATGAAATAAGAATTACTTAATGACGTAATTTATTTTGCACCAGAACTATAAAAATGTGCTTTAACTATGCATCGTTATTCAAAACTTTGATTTTGAACAAAATGGAAAAACGTAACATTTAATATTCTTACGCTTATATTATTAAAAAACTTTAATTGTTTAACTAAATTTTAGAAAAAAAAAAACTTTATCATGTTTTTGTTAACTTACATTACATGAAAATTGCAAAAGTTCTTTCGTTATTTTTTTGAAATATATATATTTATAAAATCTGACCAACAACAACTTGAACATGTTAGCTCCATTTTCACGCTAAATTAATTCAAATTATGCAAATAAATTCATGGTTAAAATAACATTTTACAATGATATTTTTTTTATCATGCGACAATAAGAAAAAACCGCAACTTTTGGAAGCATAAAAATGACTTGAATAAATTTATTTTAGTACTAAAGCTTGTTCTCCATTCAGAACTATTTGCGCTTAAAAGGAACGGAAGAGTTCTTTGAGCATGCGCAAAAAATTCTGATTGGAGAACGGGTTTAAAAAAACTGTTTGTGCATGCTCAAAGAACTTTTCCGCTTCTCCAAAGCGCAAAAAGTTCTGAATGGAGAACGGGCTTTAGGGTATATTTTAAATAAACTTTCATGTGTCTACAACAACATCCATGTATATACACACGCATATATATATATATATATATATATTATATATATATATATATATATATATATATATATATATATATATATATATATATATATATATATATATATATATATATATATATATATATATAATGTCTATTATAAAACATGTATAATTTGTTTACATTTAGACTCAAAGGTATAAAAATTAATAGGTTATTTATGAGGGTTATAATTCATTATTGAGTTTATTTTTATTTAGAACAAGAAGAAAATTCAAATAATATTTTTCAAAATTACAAAACTGTTTTATACTTTTTAAATATTTTTTATTGTAGTCTATCAAAGTAGATATTCTGCATAAGGCAAAAAAAAAAAGGATTCAAGATAGGTATTATAATTTGGTTTTTAACATAAGCATAAACACAAAAAATAACTTTTTTAAAAAATAATAAAAAGAATTTTATTGATTTCATTTGATTTTTTTACCAAGTATGTACTGTATGTCTATTTTATTCCACTTTCTAATGGAATATAATGAAGCAGACAATCAGTCAGAATATAATCAGAAATATTTATTACATGAATATGAAAGCATAAACCAAACTTTGATATAATAATTGTAATAATCACATTATTTTAATTATTAAATATTGTTAATGGTCTCATAATAGAAAATAAGCCGTAAAAAAACTGGCCTCTATTTTTTACGGAAAATGCAACAAATCAGACCGTGTAATTATAGTAGGCCATGGTACAACTAATATATAATTATTGATTCTATTTCTATTTTGTTTACTGAATATCACTTATCGTCGTTGCAAACTTAGCTCTATAAAAGTGAGTTTGATCTGACCTATACTTCTTTTACTGCTGAGGATAGACATGATCAATTACTACCATTTCTTCCACTTAGATAATTGCTTTTACATTAGACACCTATCCAATTGTTTCGAAACTTACTCAACTAACACTTACTCTAATATAACTTTGTCTTTTATTTCTCTGAGGCTTTTATGGCTATATGTGTTTCATAAAGTAATTGGGCATTTAAATCTAGTTGCAAAGTCATACAAGAATTTTATTACATAAATCAAGAACAATATTTATTTGGTATTCTAAGCTGCTTCTTTTTTCAAAAATGACCCCATACAAAACTTACTGGTACGGTTTGATTGTTGATAAGTAATCTGAAAATGTAAAACATTTTTTTGCAAAACGAAAGTAGTTCACATTTTTAGACAATCTAATCGATAATTACCCAGGTCAATGGTTTCCTGATTCCATAACGCTGTAATTTATTACTCATTAGCGGTTAATTATATTGAAAAAAAAAAATTATTTTTATGCGCTTTACGTAGTTTAATCTAGTTTAGACGTCATCATCCAGTGAAACATTTCAATATCAGTCGACAAAATTTTTAAAAAATCAAAAATTTCACTTTACAAAGTAAATAATTATTTAATTACAAGCATATGATAAATTATATATTTGTATGATTTTGAATGAATAATATTAATGTAAATTCTAAATTTATTCTTTAAACAGTTATATTATTGAACTCAAAATAAATAAAGTTTATATATGTAAATGGTTGCTAGAAACGTTTGCCACGAGCGCCCCTGAACTTAATATTTATTAAGTATATGTAACATATATACTTCTTCGGCTTTCCTGGCTTCACCTCACTTCTCAAAATAAATAAAATTTATATATATAAATGACTGGTAAAAACGTGCGTCAAGGGCACCTCTGAATTTTCTATTTAGCAATAATAAATGCGCGGAAAAAGAATCTAAATACTTTAAAATACAATAGCTATTGGACTTTAAAATAATAATACAACACACCACAATAGTTATTGTTATTGTTTTTCATTCCAGCAATACAATACAATAGTTTTAGAACTTCAATGTATTGTTAGAAAAAAAAACAATACTATAGTTATTGTAACTGTTTTTAATCACAGTAATACAATAACAAAAAGTAATGTTTTAATCTCTGGTATTACAATACAATATCATTATATTGTAATGTGTTATTGTATCTAACTTTTACAATTACAATTACAACAGTTTGAACCCTGAGTTAGTTCATACATAATAGTTACCTAAGTAAAGGTGTGACAAATATCAGATAAACTAAACTTGGGCGTACCTTTTACGTTAAAAAAAATAAATAGTTTTATTAAAATTTATTAAAATTTAGAATTACATATATACATGATTATGCATATATGTAATTCTAAATTTTAATAAATTCATATTTATGAATATATAAACTTAGAGCTTTAGAACTTATAAAATGACTAATGCGTCATTTCATAACTAATATGTTTTAAAAACGTTTTATAGCATTAAGCTAATAATTTAGAATAATAGCATATTATTAGTTCAAAGAATTACAAAAAAATGTTTAAAAGTTCTTTGGACAGAGAAACTTCTTGTATTTAACCAAAGCGCCTGATTAGTCTCGATGTGACGAAAGTAGTATAATTTCTTTTCTTAAAGCGTAAATTACGCAACGCTAAATTTTACTTATAAACAAAACAAAAAAGATCAAAAGTTTTCCCTCGCAGAGCCTTAACTTAAATGAAAAATCAAAAAAGCAAATTAAGTTTACCGCGTATATTTTTGAAATAAATTTAGTGTTGCATAATTTATGGAAGATCCCTAATAAAATATAGTAGCGTCTGTTGGATCAAATATAGAGACTACGACGTATGCCAAAGTATAATTCAGGGTATTTTAGTTTGAATTGTAGATACGCCTGGTGAGGTAACAGATGACACACAGGATAATGCCAATGATATTCAGTCTTAGGTTTCTGTAAAAGTGAAATACTGTCACAAAATAAACAGTCACAAAGTACAGTTGATTTTTATAAGCTAAGATTCAAAAAAATATGAGACGATTTTCTTTGGTTAAATATAAAAAAGTTGTAAAAGTTTATTAAAGTGACAATAAACTTTGAAAAAAGTAATATTCGAAGACACAAAAAGAGGCACTACTCTGTTTGTTGATATTGTACAATTGATAACAAGTCTTTTTTGTTAAGTTTCACAAAATTATAACAATATCAAACTTTTTAGTATTCTATTTATTTTTGTGAAGTTTATAACCTAAAAATATCAGGTTTCGTGTAAAAACAAAAATAACTCTAGCAACTTTCTATAAAAGGTTTTACGTCAAAGAAATTTTAATTTCTTTCAAAATATACATGATAATACTATAAATTTTATTTTAAAAAACAATTAACACTTACTATCTAATTATATCGTAAATTCATCACCTCTTATATTGATGCATATTTTACAGAACAGTTATACTTTTATCTAAAAGAAGGATTACACTTTCTTTAAACTGACGCATATTATCAATAAGCAATTAATAGTTAAGGTAACCTGAGGCTAATGCTATAAAAATAAAAAAAACAAAGACCTTTTTACGTAAAACGCGGGATTTTTTTGCGTAAAAAGCAAAAAATAAATTCATTGATATAAATTTTAAGAAAAACCGTTTTTTAAATAAAAAAAAATCAGATAGAAACTTGATCTCAATATTAGATATTTTTCTTGTGATTTTTAGCACCATTCTTGTAACAACATTAGCGCTTTAAAATCAAAATATATTTTTTTCATGTGTTTTTTTTATCTGAAAACTAAAAAGCATCGTAGCAATGAAGTAAGCTTCATTTAACCAAAAGATATGAAAAATTCAGAAGACTTTATTTAAAAATTAATTTTGCTTTGCTAATAAACAATCGGATAAAAAAACTACACCTAAGTTATTCATTTTACAATTGAACCTGTTTGCCTTAAGTCTAAAACGAGTAAAATGAATAAATGTTTAAATATTTTGAATAAATTGTGCACAAAATTTATAATGTATGCCTTGTACAGTTAGTTATAATACAGTTATAATACAATTCCAACATTATTTTTTGTTTGAGAAAACTTGGAACAAACTCGAAACATTTATATGTTTATGATAATGTCAAATAAGGATGCTTTGCAAAAAATTGCGATTGGAGCCTGGGAAAAAAAACAACCTAAAAGTTTGATCACAACTGTCCCAAACGTAAGCAACTAGTCGATCAAATTTTTTTGCAAAGCATCTTTATTTGACATAAGTATAAACATATAAATGTTTCAAGTTTGCTCCATTTCAGGAAGTTAGACATCTCGAAGACCAAAAAACCACTGTATACATATATATATGTTAGGGCTGTTCAGTATGCTAATTTGTTTTCAGAACATAGCTAATTGAAGTTTTTCCCATTGAACTATCATATTGTGGTTCAAAAAGTTTTTTACTAAATTTTTTTATTTGCCCTAAAGGTCCCACAAAGCCCCCAAACATTTGACAGGTCCCTAATATTATTAAAAAAAAAATTATTTCTTTCTTCTCAAAAGAAGCAAAATTTTATAAAAATTTTAAAAATTAGATTCATTTTTTATAAAAAATAACTTAAAAAAACTTATTATTAAAAATGTTGCGAAATTACCTTTTTTTCATTTTTCGTTTAAAAACCATAGTTTTTATTCAAAAAAACCTAAAATTGTTATTTTTATAAATAACATTTTTTGTTTTTGGAATTTTTAAATGATTTTGCTTCTTTTAAGTAAAAGGTTGACATATTTTTAAATAATTTTTTTTTTAATAATATTAGGGACCTGTCAAATGTTTGGGGGCTTTGAGGGACCTTTAGGGCAAATAAAAAAATTTAGTAAAAAATATTTTTGAACCACAATATG